GCACTTCTATCAAATTCCCAGGTGATGCTGAGGCTCCGGTCCCGGGACCACACTTTGAGAACCACTAGTCTAGGGATGTTGGGTGCAGGGACTCTGGGGCTAAGCTGCTGAGCTCCCAACTGTTACCTTCTAGCTGAGCTACTCAGGGCCACAGTTGCCTCATCTGTAAAATCAGTATAATAAAAGTCCCTGCCTCATAGGTGAGTTTGGAGAGGGCCAAATGTGTTAACACATGCAAACTTTGTGCCTGGTATGTAGCAAGGGCTCAATAAAATTTGCTATTATTAGCATAGCAAAAAAAAGGCACCACTTCCAGGTTTCAGTGCAGGCTTTCCCATCAGCTGTGTGACTTCAAGGACATCGCCTCACCTCAGTTTTCCCATCTCTACTAAAAGGGTGATGATAACCCACTTTACATTCTGCACAGGGTGTTCTGAGGATCCAATGGAATCTGTGTGAGTGCACTTTTTAAATGACAAGCCCTATACAAACACCTGCGGTTAGATGTTGTGGGAGAACTTGAACTTGAAGTCAAATAGACCTGTCCTAAAATACCAGGTTAAGTAGGCAAGTCTCTGACTCTTTGAGGCTTAGTTTTCCCATCTCTAAAATGAGAGACATAATAGTGAGAGCCTCAGAGCAGCTGGGCGATGTCCTCAGAACCCCTCACCTGAGGTCTGTTCCTCACTGTCATCTTCAGCAAGTTATCAGGGTTTCAAATCAGGTTCAGTGCTGGCACCGGGGCCTTACCCAGCCCCCGGCCACAGAGCGGCAGCCTAACCTGAGATCCCTCCGGCTTGAAGTCTGGGCTGACTCACACACTGGCCGGCCCCTCTTCTAGACCCCAGTAGCCCCAGCTCATGGGGTCATGATAGGAATGAAACAAGAGAAAGGGTGAGGCATCCTGTCCAGATTCCACACCAGGCAGGCCCTCAGTAAACACTCCCCTCCTGGCAGAGATCCTTTCAGCCCCTCCCAGGCTGCCTCCAAACATTTTGCCTCTGGGAGCCATCAACTCTGAAAGCGAATTCCTTGCAGCGTAAGAGGTTTCACGGCAACTCTATTCTCCAGGAGAGAGGTAGAACAGCCCTTCCCTTCTCCAGGAGGGGAGGGAACAGTCAGAGTCCTGTTTAATTTAATTTAACGCACTGTGGCTTGCCAGGTTGCCCCTGGTAACAGCTTCAGCTGCTGCTTCAGTTACAACCAGAAGGATTTTTAAAGAGACAGCCCATTTTAGGGTCAGAATTGCACAGTAGAGGGAACGGCATCCACCAGCTTCATCACAGGGAGAGAAGATTACACCTTTAGGCACAGCAAGGCTTCAGACCAGATCCATTTGTACAATTAACTCCATTCCGAATTTGCAACCCCATAAGCCCTCCTGCAAATGTAACTCTTAAGTGGGAATCTAAGAAGGCATTATGCTTAGGATTTGTCATACAGATGTCACTTGGCTAGCTACTTTTCTGAAAATCAGTTTCAATCTTCAGGTTGAAGGAGAAGGCAAGTAAACCCGTAAGAATTGTCCCTGCAATTCAGGTTTGCTGCCACCAGGTGGTAGTATTGTTTGCTTAGTTCAAACTCATAACCAGGCTCTTGAATTACACAAGAATATCAGGGTGGTGGTGAAACCACTGGATTTTAAGCCTTGATACTAACTACTGTGTGACTGTTGATAAGTTGCTTCACCTCTGTGGTCTCAGTGTCCTCAGAGATATAATAAGGGGATTGATCAAAATAATCGAGGGTTGTGGACAAGGCTTGAGTCTAGGACTATGAAGGAAGGCGTGAGTTTAAGGTCCCAGCTCTGTCATGTACTGTGTGGCTGGGCACACAATTTAATTCCTTGCAACCTAAATACCAAACAAGAGAGTGGCTATGAACCAGGGAGAGCCCTGAGGACACCACGTAACTCTCCCATACTAGAAGCCTGTAGAAGTGAGAAAGGGGCCTGGGACCCTAGGGGATCTGAGGCCTCAGGGGATCCCAGCAGCTGTGGGGAGTGGGGTGAGGCAGGATGCCTCTGGACTCCAGGGCCCGAGTCCTCATTGCCCCATAGGGAACTGAAATAGGTCACAGTACACAGAGCAGCCTCCTGGACACACTTAACTCCATTCCGCTTTAACCCAAACTAGGAGAAAAGGAGCAAACATTAATGGAGCAAGTACTCCAGGCTAGAACTGCTTCACAATGCCTAAGAGGTTGGTATTATTATGCCCCTTCAGATAAGGACACAGCCCCAAGGGGTGACTCATCGGCCCAGTGCTGGCCAGCGGGCCTCTGCTCTTCGCATTACAGCCCCCATGGCTACTACATCTGTTGTCTCTCGTGGGTACTCCTCCTTGTAAGGAGACCGAGAGGGAGAGCTGGTCCTGTCTCTCGCTATCATGACTCTGTTTGGCCAATCTCAAAGTGAGCATAGGGTCAGAGGTCATGAGATCACACCAACAAGCAGCCAAGGAGCCTGAGGCACACAAGCCCTCAATCTTTCCATGGTCAGGTGCTGAGAGTATGTCCAGATCTTCAGCCAGCTTAGCCCAGAGTAGTTGTCCTGTGAATCTGAGTTCCCTTCCCACAGCCCAGGTCCTGTGTAGGTGCAGCAGGTAAGGTTACCCAGCAGCCTATCTCAGCCTTTTGCTTTGGCCAGTGTTCCCCACTGATCTCTCAAGGATGCCCTTTAACACTTGAGACTTGCTGCTCTTCCCTCCAGACAGCCCTGTTCTAGCTAAAGCTCCATACACATATTCCCTCCTAAGTAATTAGGATTCCTCTCCAAGTGATGTGAATGTGGAGACACATTGGACTTCAGCACTCCCCAGCTCTGACCCCTTCTCTGGCTCCCTGCTGCCCTGCAGATAAGCTCCAGGTCCTAAGCCTGGCACTTAGGGGCTCCTCCTGGAGTATCCCTGCTGGCTCCTCCTCCATCCCTCACAGCTGGGGTTCCAGCCCCCAACACACCGTGCTCACTCATTTCTGAGCTTTTGCACACACTGTCCCCTCCATCTGGAATGCCTTCTCTCACCATGTCCACTGGGGTGTTCCTACTTGTCCTTGAGAACCTACTCCAGCTCATCCTCCTCTAGAAGACCTGGCAGTACCCCTGGGTCAGGTAGCATGCCTCCTCGCCTGCCCTGCTATTCCTTTACTCTGTGTCTTTGTTGGTTTTTTTTTTTAAGTTTTTTTTTTAAAGTTGTATTTATTTATTTTTAGAGAGGGGGAGAGAGGAAGAAAGAGAGGGAGAGAAACATCAATGTGTGGTTGCCTCTCGCGTGCCCCCTACTGGGGACCTGGCCTGCAACACAGGCATGTGTCCTGACTGGGAGTCAAGCTGGCAACCCTTTGATTCGAAGGCCGGCACTCAATCCACTGAGCCACACCAGCCAGGGCTACTCTGTGTCTTTGGTTCTGACTTTCCCACCAGACTAGGAGCTCCTAAAGACAGGACCTGCCTCTCTCCTCTCCTTTTCCCATTGCCCATCCTGGGCCACACAGGAAGGGACTTCCTGTCTGGGGAATAGTGGCTGAGAAATGCAGTTAGTGGTGCCTCCTCTTGCTTGGTTCACTCAGTGGAATCTGACTCACAGTCCTCCTTCCTCTCTTCCTCCCTCCAAGCTCACGCATGGCCTCCCCAGAGCAGCGGTGACGCACTTTGCAAGCTTTAGCTCCCCAGCACCACATCACACGCACCGTGCTCCGTGCTCACCAGGCTTGCCCACACACCCCCGCGCTGAGCCTTCCATCTGGAACGCCCTTGTACCCCATCCACCCGCTGAAATGCCTCTGCTATTCAAGACCCACATCACAGCCCGTCCTCTGCGAGGTTTTCTCTGAGTCTTCTGGCTGGGGTGGCCTCTCCGTCCTGCTGTATTTGTCTGCCTTCCTCTCAGGGCCTTCATCCTGCTCTGCCTTGTGCTACAGTTGTTGGCAACCCAGCGCGGTGAGGGGAGGGTGGGCTTCGGAGCCTAACAAAGGGAGCCCTAACCCCAGCTCTGACACCTGCACACCACGCGAACTGGAACAGGTCACTTTACCTCTCTGGGCCTTAATATGTTTCTCTCCCACCACCGACTCCGACCCCCTCCTAAGTGTTGTGCGATTGGGATGACTGGTATCAGGGTCCTGGCACGTGGCAGGCACTCAGTCAAGCCCAGTTATTTAGGTCTGTTCCCCCAGCCAGGCTGCGAGCTCATGTGGGCCCGGGTGCAGCTCCCATGCAGTTCCACATCCCCAGAATACCCAGCACTGGGCTTCACACCGTAGCTGCCCAGAAATGCTGGCTGGACTGAATGCCCTCAGCCGCTGCTGGGAGTGGGGTGGAGGGATGATGGGGTCCTGAGCTGAGGAAGCCATAGCGGGGTGTGGGGAGAGTGCAGAATCGAGTCTGGAGACCATCGACAGGAGATGAGTGCAGAGGGAGGGCCTGGAGCCTGAAGCGGAGCTGCTGATATGCACTGGGGGTTTTATTGGTTTTCATTAAAATTCCTTCCCGAGGCAGAAACAGCTACTCCCATAAATAACGGCATAAATATTTTATCCGGTGCCCAAGTCAGTCTAAATGCACGGCAAGGTTGGCAAGAATAACAATGGGAGACAGTTCAGGGGGGCCCTGGGCTTCCGCTGAGCTCACTCAGCTCACCCGAAGGGGCTTCCTCAGGAAGGTGGGAGTGGAGGGATGGTGCAGGGGAGAAGGGGACCGGTGGAGTGTGGGCCCCAAGGAGGGGGCGTGCAGAGCACAGGTGGGGAGTCAGGGGAGGGCAGCTCAGCTTGGAGAGCAAGATGGGAGGGGGCGAATGTGCCCCGCACCGGCCCTGTGAGGGGCTCCTCATGCAGGGCCTTCCACGCGTTATTTCATCACATCCTCTGTGGTCAGAGACGTGAAGCGACTTGCCCGAGGTCTCTGGCCAGGAGACTTCCCGGGGTTCAGAGAAAGTGTGGGAATCTATGAACAATAGCCCGAGTACCTCAGTAACAGCAGCACGGGCCATTCTCTGCTTTCCTAGATCCCCATGGAGGAGAAAAGGGGCTGGTACTTCACCATGGCAACGCTTTTCATAAGGTCAGACTGGGAAAGGGGGCACAGGATGGGGGGAGGTGAGGCCTGGAGCCCAGGGGACAGGTGGCTGAGCCCATCTCCATGGCAAGTGCTCCCCAAGTTCCCCTCGCTGCCATTGGCCAGGGCAAAGGAGGACTCACAGCATGCTGGGGACAGCTGGGGGAGAGGGTGCTGACCAGCTGTATCCTTTTTTCGGTCACAGGCTAGATGGCATCTTCCTGGAGCTGGGCAGCGAGGAGCATAAGAGACTGCCCGCATTCAACCGCACATTGGCCTTGCTCCGGCAAGTCCTCAAGTCCTCGGACCCCCACCACCGAGGTAGGGCCCTCGGAGATGGTAGGAGAGCAGCCTCTGCCCAGCTCTCCCGGCACCTGTCTCTGTCATTGGCCCCACCTCCAGCACTGCCTCCCTTTTGAGGACCTGTTTCTTTCCCTCACCCTCTGTCTCATGTTCCCTTGTTCATCTCAAGAGCTCGCTCACCTTGCACAGGTGAATACACCAATTGCAAATCCCAACGACTGCATGGTTCCAGGTGCGTGTCTCAAGGCCTAGTGTGTAAGAGACAGAGCTTCCATTTCAGCTTCTCATCCCCACTTTCTGGCTGGGAATGAAGGCTCTGCTGGAGAGGAGTTCGGTCATTTTTCACGGGGCCACACGACCAGAATAGGGACTAGAACTTCAGAGCCGGTGAAGAGCTGGAGTCAGAGAAGCCATGCACCTTCCGAGAGGTCCCCTAATTGACACAGTAAACAGACTAAGCATGACAGTGTGTTCATCCATTCACTCACATGTCCCCGCTCCCCTCCTTCCCTCCTCTGTTTCTCTCAGTTGGTCCCTGAGTGGCCCACCGTGATTTCGTGCCACTGACCCTCCCTTGTCTTCCTGGGAGCTGACCCCTTGGTGCAGTTGGCCCCTCCCCCCTCGTGGCTTCTCTCCCTCTCCCCTCCCTGCTGCCTCCTAGAGTCTCTTCTCCCGCCCTTCACCCCAGCTCTGGCCTGGTGCTACCTCGGAATGCTGCTGGAGAGGAAGGACACCTTCTCCACTACGCCCATGGGCATCCACGACTGTGGGTACTCAGGGACCGACCCCCTGGACTGCTTCGGCAAGGTATGTGCCACAGCCCCACTCCCTCCCCAAACTGGGACGGAGCCTACCACCCTCTTCTGGAACCCTCTGCTTCTCTGTGTGCCGCCTCCCACTTCCATCCCCACTGTGCGCTCACCCAGGGAGCGCCCTCGCTCCAGACCTTCCTCTCCATCCCGAACAAAACAACTGTGCTCCCTTGTCGTCAATCCCCTTTGCCTAAGAATCAGACCCTTTCCACGCCCAGTCTGGCCCAAGCCTGTGCCTCCAGACTTGTCTTCTACGCTCCCCAGGTATAGCCTCAGGCTCTTCTCCTCAGGCCTTGGTTCACACTGTCCCTCCCCACCTCCACTGGCCTAGTGGAAAGAGAATGGGTTTAGCCAGGGTCTCATACCCGCTGTGTTCACGGGCCATGTGACCCTAGAGTAAGTCGCTTTCACCCCGAGGCCCCCTTTTCTGTAAATTATGTGATCTGTCTACCTTGTAGATGATTGAGAAACTCAAAGGACATAGTGGACAAAACTTCATTGTAAACTGTAAAGCGCGGTTCAAGCCTCATTCTTGACACCTTGTTTATGTGGCACTTTCTACACTCAGCTCAGTTTTGAAGTCTTTCCTGGAGGCCAGGGACCCTGTTATATTCATTCACCTGCACATTCAGCACAGCGCCTTGCACAGGCACATTCCTAATGTTTGCTGGTGGGTGATGAGCAATTTCTTGATGAGAGATCTCCGAAGAGAGCAGAGCATTAACACTGGTGCATGAGTGTTCTGAGAGTTGTGTCCAACTTAACAAAAACACTGCCTCTAGCACTCCTTGAGAACCTACCCTGTGCTGGGGCAAAGAGATGGGCAGACAGGGCCCCTGGCCTGCACGAGTTCACCATCTCAGGGGCAGCAAAGAACGTGGCACAGGCAGCCAGCAGTGACGCTGTAGGAGGGGTAAGGGCTGTGGCCTAGATAGAAATGCTGCACTAGGTACAGGGGAGGTAGAGGCTGATTCTGGCCCCTCCTCACACCTGCCCTGGGAAGATGGAGGGGAACACATTGGATGTGTCTGAGGAAGAGGAGTTTGCCTGGGATCTGGAGAGGTTCACCAGACATGACCCATGAATGTGGTGGAGAGCATGGCAGTGAGTTGAGCTCTCAAGAGTTATGTGCCAGTGAGCTGTGCCCCAAGTGTTAGCCTCCATGAGAAGACTGAGCTTACTGGTGGGTGGAGACGGGGAATAAGAATATTGCGATGACCTGGCTCTATCCAGAGGTGGGGTTCCTAAGGGTCACTATTTGGCATATAGACAAATTGTTTGCTCTTACCCTCCTTCCTTACCCAGGCCATTGAGATTGCCAAGGACCAACCCCCAATCCTGAATCGCCTGGCCAAAATCTTCCACTTCCTAGGAAAACAGGATATGGCCATTGGCACCTGCAACATGGCACTGGATGTCCTACGGGATCCAGAGCTCAACTGGCAGGCGTATTGCACAAGGGCCAAGGTGAGTCACCCTGTAACCCCATCTCCTCCTATCATCAGGAATCAGAGAACAAGGACCACAGGCCACAACCCTACTGCCAAGATCTTCTCTCACGACTTCTGCCTAGAATGCTCTTCTTCCAGATGGCCAATTGGCTTCCTCCCTCACCTCCTGGAAGTCTGGATACAAAGGCAGCTTTGTATGCAATTGGACACAACTCTCCAACAAAGGCAGCACTATCTTACTGAAAATGTCAACTTCTCAACATTTAAAAAAAAATTTTTTAACCTCACCTGAGGGCATGCCCATTGATTTTAGACAGGGGGGAAGGGAGGGAGAGAGAGAGCAAGAGAAACATCAATGTGAGAGAGAAACATTGATCACTTGCCTCTCATACAGGCCCCAACCAGGACCGGACCCACAGATTAGGCATGCGCCTTAACCAGAATCAAACCTGTAACTTTTCTGTTCTACGGGACCACGTTCCAACCAACTGTTCTGCAGCAGCCCGGGCAACCTCTCAGCACTTATCACTCCCTAACATACTATTTGCTTATTTATTATGTTTTTTAATCTCTCCCTACTGCTAAAATATAAGCTCCATGAGGGCAGGGAATTCTGTCATTTTGCTCTCTTGTATACCCTCAGTTCCTAGAACTGTACCTAGCACATAGCAGACTCTTGATGAATATTTACTGAATGAATGAATGAATGAACTGAGCATCTACCATATGGTAGGTCCTGGTTGGAACATAGTCTCTCAGTCATCATGGTAACTCCCCAAGAAAGATATTAGTGTACTAATTTTTCAAATGTGAAAAATGAAGCTCACAAAGGTTGAGCAACTTCCCCCAGCTCACATGCTAATAAGAGGGGAGGGGCTGGAATTCAGCCAAGTCCCACCGGCAATAAAACCAGAGCTTCCCAACTCCCCACCCCTTATCCTCCACCCCCCACTTCGTGATGCTCTTTTAGAACCAGAGCCCACCCTGTTGGCTATGAGGTTTTAATACTTTCAACAACAATGACCCCCTTTTCCTTGCTTTCTCCCTCTCAGCCCTACCTCACCCCTCCTGAATCTCTAGATTTTAAAAATGGCCCTAGTGTGGGGGAAAAGGAAGTGGAGATGAAAGCAGGGGCCTGGAATCATTTGTAATTTGATGCCTGTAGTTGAGGCCACCTGCCATTCTTCCCAAATTGCTTGCTTACATGGACTCTCACAAAATCAATGCTGCCATCCTATCGAAAATAACCCTCTCCCCAGGCACCTCAATCCCATCGCCCTGCTTTTTTTTTCATAGCACTTATCACCACTTGAAATGGTACCATTTACTTGTTCATGGTCTTTTCCCTACTAGAAAGTTAAGTTCCACCAGTGCAGGCACCTCATCTGTCTTATCACCATTGCACCCCTAGTACCTAGCATAGGACCTGGCATATGGTGGGCACTTGGTACATACTTGTTGAGTGAATGAAGGGCTCTTACTTCATCTCACCTACTCATTGTACAGACAGCGAAACGAAGACCCAGAAAGGGAAGTGGCTTGCCGAAGAGGGCACAGGAGTAGAACCTAGGACTCTTGGGTCCCAGTCTCAAGGGTTTTCTGCTATCACAGAACCTTCCTGAGTTGCTGTTGAGAAAAAGGTTGGCTTCATTTAGGGGAGATGCCCCTTGCTTGAAGCATCTTCCCTGAGCCAACTCTCTGTGGGCAGATCCATATCAGAGCCTATCTTCATGACCTGGAGCGGGTCAAGATGGGGCTCGGAGGCATGCCTGACAGGAACCACCTCGCCTGCGCCAAAGCGGACCTCGAGGAAGTGGTCAAGGTGTGCCCAGGTCTCAAGACCTACCTGGACATCGGCCAGGTAAGGCAGTCTCTGGGCTTTCATAGCCAATGGCTTACTAAGAACATATTTACTTTCTGTCAGGCCAGGTCTGGGAACTTAGGGCATAGAGAGGAAGGAACAGGGGGCATCTTCCTAACTGATAACAGTACCCACCTCCTACAGGTGAAGATTAGATGAGAGAATGCCCGTATATTGTTTAGGACAGCGTCTAACCCTTTCTAGGCACTCAGGAAGTATAGACCATTATTCTTTATCCAGAAGTGCCTCCTGTGCACAGCGAAAGATTACTAAGAGATGACAAGATCATATTTTACATATGAGAAAACTGAGGCCCAGAAATTGCCTTGCTCAAGGTTATATGGCTAAGAGTGGTGGGACTGGAACTGGAATCAGAGGACTGTCTTTCCTTTTCTAGGGAAGGGGGACCAAAATTTGCGGTGAATAACTGGGAAGAGGGAAGGTTGGAATTAGGAGAGCAGCCATGGGGTGGGGGGCGGCGGAGAGGGAGTGAAGGGTTGAAAGCCTCACCCCTGCCACCTCACGCCAGGTCTACTACTACATGGGCGTGGACGCAATGCAGGAGCTGTTGGCAGTGGATGAGGCGGCGCTGAACCAGGCGCTGGTCTTCTTGGCCAAGGCCGGCGAGTCAGAGCTGGGCGCCACGCTGCCCGAGCTGCAGCTGCTGCGAGGCAAGTGCCTGCGCATCAAGGGCGAGGAGGCCAACGCAGCGGCCTGCTTCAAACGCGTGGTGGAGCTGGACGACGCAGGCTCCAGCCACACCGAGGGCTTCGGCTGCCTGCTCGAGGCGCTGCTGGCGCAGTGGAGCCAGGCGCAGCTGAGCGACGGGGAGCTGGGCCGCGAGGTGGACGCGTGGCTGCGCTGCGCCCAGGCCAAGTATCCGGCGGCGAGCCTGCGCCAGGAGCTGCAGCGTGTGTGGCGCGGCCACACAGACGAGGTGCTGGGGCTGGCCCGGGCCTTGGTGGACCAGGGACGGCTGTCGTTGGTGCGGCTGCTCTTTGAGACGATGGAACACGAAGGCGAGGGCACGGGGACACCGCGAGGCCGCCGAGCGTTCTCCTTCTGAGGGATCCTGTCGAGGCCCCGCCCCATCGAGGGCCCGCCCATCAGAGCCAATGAGATTCTCCTTCAGGAACTGGAATGGGAACCTTGAGACAGTAGGGCAGTCTGACATGCCCACGGAGGTGGAGGGGCCTGGTTTAGGAAATGCCAATTAAAGGACAGAATTGGGCAAATGTGCAGAGAAAATAAGAGGGCTGCCACTCTCCTAAGAGAAACGTAAGATAACTGTCTCAATTTTGGTGGCTGTCTAGTTCGCTGTGCAATCTCTGGGACCTTAATGTCTTTGGATTCCCATGAGCAACTCTGTCCCTACAATACAGCCCTTACTTAAGTTGACTGGAGTGGGTCTCACAGGCCCTGCAGGTCAGAAAGCCATGGCCAGTGCAAAGGGCAAAGCGGCACCATGGGCAGGTAAGGGGCAGGGCAGGGGTCTACACCCATGTGCTCGGCCTCTTTCCTGCCTGGCTGGCAGTCTTCCAGCAGGTCTCATCCTTGCTCAGTGTGCTCCGCAAGGCTCCCAGACAAGGAATAAAGCCCATCCATAGAATTCCCTGTTCTGGGAACCTAGAGGCCCACCCATCAGGAAACGGCACCTGCTCCCAGTCTTAAACCTCCCACAACCAAATGAAGAATATCTTGGAATTTTACTCTCTTGAAATCTTAGACCTAGAGCCTTAAATGTGGGATTTTATTGTCAAAGACTTAGACTCTGGTTGCCACCAAATCTTAAAATGGCCAACCTGAATTTTGGGGGCCTTACCTACAAGAACTACTTAACCTAAAATTCCATATTAATTTCTTGCCAGGCTCCAGGAAAGCTAGTTGCACATATTGCATTGGCAAGACCCCCATAATGGTTTGCAATTTGTTTTGCATCTGTTTCTTTCTTTTAACAGCGATACTCACTGCTTTTGTCATATCTCTGATCCTCAGATGTTAACCAGGGATAGGCTAGCACCCCTACATGGCTTCTCATGTCTCCAGTGACAGACGCAGAGCAGACTGAGAGGTGCAGTCCTTAGAGATCACATATTCCAAAGCTCTCATTGTGCAGACGGGAAGACTGAGAACCTTCGAAGGGAAATGGCTTGCCCACGGTCACACTTCGCACTCCCTAGCCCTCCCTCCTTTGTACCTCAGACTTGCTGTCAGCACTTTTCAGATTTAGAAAAATACTAATATACTGATTAACACTAAAGCATTAAGTGTTTATGTGTCACCTGTCACATGGGGCACTGATATCCATTGGGATAAAGCGCTAACACTAATGATAGTGTTCCCAGTAGCAGTGAAACCTGGACAGTGAGGTCACCCTGAAGTCCCCAAATTCCACTTCATGGCTTATCATGGCTCACCACTTTGGGAAGTAACATTTTCTCCCTCCTTCCTCTCACCTCCGCTGCAGCAGTAGGTGACTTGACAACACACACAGCCCTGTCTACTCCTCCATCCATCCCTTCTCCACCCATGATGGGAAACCATCTCTTTCTTCTCCTGCTTCTTCAGCAAACTGAATTCAAGGTGGTTTGTTGGCACATCTAGGAAGGTGGTGAAGTTTGTCTGTTTCCCCAGGCTTCCCAATTTGTTTCCTTTCTTGCTTTTCCTTTCCCCAAGGTAATGCACTTATCCCTCCTTGCCTCCTCCTCCTGTCAAACCTTTTCAATAAACTTTCTGATAATCTCATTCACACAATTCATATAAATGACTAATAAACACCCACTGCATCTTCTCTCGGGGTATCTGTATATTGACCAAAAGCCAAAAAGAGAGAGGAAACCCCACTTCCAGAACATATCCTATGTGCTAGGTGCTTCATACATGGCATTTCCTCAACAGTCCTGGGGAGTAGCGTTGTTAACCCTCATTTTACAGATGAGGACACTGAGATACTGCCCAGGGTTTCAGGTAAGTATGGGAAGAGCCAGAATTTGGACCAGACCTGCCCAGTTCTGTGCTGCCTTCTGGAACACAATTCTTCCTAGGAAGACGTGTCATCTGTAGTCTAGTGTTGGGTCTGTGATCATCAACTTGAACTGTCCCTTTGCCCCATCCCTTCCTTCAGTGCACTAGCTCTCTGCTCCTAAACTGCTTCTTCTCTGTGGCTTTGTACATCCTATTACCCCACTGGCTCTTCCCCTGATTTCTATCCCAAGTGCTAGGCTCAAAAATGCCTCCTCCAGGAAGCCTGACCAAATCCTTCCAGCTCTCATTAATCACTCCTTTTATGCACAGAGAGCTCTCAGGGCATTGTGTCCCACTGTGTTGCTTTCATTCCTTCTCCTTGGCCCATCATTGTGTCAACACATCTGCAGCCCACCCCTGCCCCAGTTGGACTCTTTACAGCAGGAACTAACTATACCCGATTCAGCCTCAGGGCCCTGCACTGAGCTTGGCACTGAGACAGGCTCAGTTTAACTTATTGAAGTGAGTGAACTCACTGCAATGAGGTTGCTATCTTAGTCACAAACAGGGGACTCTATCACCAGGCCCACAGGCCTGAGGTTGGGGCCGGGTCTGTAGCCCAAGGACCTTTGAGGCCCAAAAATTCAAGGAGAAAATATGGGCTTTTTTTTCTCTCCACTTCTCTGGCCTTAGGTCAATTCTTTAATTCTGCAATTGGGACACTGAGGCCGAGACTGGGAAACTGGGACAAGAGAGCAAGGACTCGACCAAGGTCAAGCCATGAACCGATGACAGATTCAAATTTGAACCCCAATTCCAGACTTGTGGGCCAGTGTTCTCTGCCCTTTTAGGGCCGCCTCCTTTGGCAAGTTTACTTCTATCAAGCCCAAGAGGACTACTGCCCTTCCATTCCTTCCCTCAGCTAGTACTTACTGAGCACTGGGCAAGTGCCAAGCACAGTGCCAAGTTCTGGGATTCCAGTGGAGAAGCAAATGGACCCGCCCTTACCTTCCGGGAGCTCACAGGCTAGAGCTTTCCCAGCAGCGTAGGCTTGGCCTTGTGGGCTGCAGTGGAGACTTGCAGAGACTAATGGGAAACTGCGGGAGTTCTAGCTGGCAGAGCTGGCTGCCCTCCCCTTCCACACCAGTCATTCACATCCTGTGTTAGTGGCCTTTCCCCAGCCCAGCGTCAGGGAGAGGATGGCTGTCCCTGGACTCGGAACCTGGGCCTGGGCCATCCCTCTGCACTAGGCCACTGCTAAGGCCAGACCTCGCGGTCCCCCCGGACTGTGGCTCAGGCTGGTTGGGGGAGGCTAGTGGGTGGCTGAGTCTTATTTAATTATAATTTTAGGCCCTGCAGATCACCCCTGCCCACTGGGCAGCTGGGAGAACAACTGTCTGTCACACAGCTGAAGCAGCAGGGGATCCTTAGGGGAGCACTGCGGAGTAAAAGCCGTAATGACCCCATCATCAGAGTAATGAAGATAAATCACACCTCATGCTGCCTGCCCACTCTTTCCTCTGTATCTAGAAGCCAACATCAGGCAGCTAGAAACTCTTGTTTAGCCAGTGTGAGCAAGAAATGTTAAAGAGATGCAGGTGAGATTTTTCAGTTATAGGTTTCCAGAATCTCAGAGTTGGAAAGAACCCTAATCATCACATCTTCTAGCCTCTCCATCTATAGCAGGACTCCTCTCAACAGTGATTATTCTGAAAGGAAGACCTAAACCACTTGCATACCTCTGGCAGACAGGCAGCTTACTACCTCTTAAAGGAATCAATCCATTTTTCCACCAGTCTATCTTTGGAGTTTGTCCTTCTACTGAGTTGAACTCCTCTTTTCTGTAGTTCTTATCTTCTGATTCAAATTCAGCTTCTGGGGCCAAACAGAACATACCCTAATAAGCGTGGTAACCTTGAACGAGTTATTTTCTTCTGGCCCACATTCTTTCCTTCTGCTCTGGCACCTAGTACAGTGTGTGAATTGTTCAGAAGGTGGCTGGCTACTCCGTCAAGGGCCACACAGAGCTCTGATCCGGCTTCCAGCTGCCCGCGCCCAGCCTAGAGCCTGCACGCAGTGGTGCTAGCAGCTGGAAGCAGAACAGAACAGGGTTCTCCCGTCCCTAATCAGCCCCCTAGGGAGCACCCTGTGTGGATGATAGTGGCTAGATGCCAAATGAAGTGAAATATCTCCTTTCCTCAGGCTGTTAACTTTTTTCTTGTTTAAGGAAAGGGAGGATAATGACATTTAGCACTTTACAACTCAGCAGTAAAATAAGCAGATGGAAACAGATCCCCAGCATGGCAGGCAAGCTTCCAGTGAGAAACCCTCCTCGGCTCTGTGGGCCTGAAGTCACCGGCAAGGCTTGCTGATGGGGTTAGGACACAGCCAGCTCCCTCCTGGCCCCCCAGCTCCGTCCCACAGGCTGCACGGGCCCTACCTGCCCTCACTCCCCACTTCCTGCCTGGAACACCGTTCCGACCTCCCAGGTCTGCTGGGAATACGAACCCTCTAATCTTGATGAGGAGAGGAGGGGGATGTTCTTGGCAAGCAGCGGTGAGCAGAATCTGTGGAGCTGCAGAAAAGCTTCGGTTGGCCTCTAGGTGGCCACAAAAGAACAATTTGAGCAGGGAAGCTTCCCACAGGGAGGTCAAAGAATATCTTATTCATCTTGATCACCATCACCACAACTCACTGAGAAGTTGCCATGGGCCAGTCCCTGTGGCACATGTTTCATACGCCATTACCTCACTTAACCCCCATAAGCTCATGAGCTTTGTATCAGCATTGTCTCCCTTCAACAGATGAGGAAACTGAGGCTAGGAGAGGTTCAGTGACGGCCTTAGGTCCCTCCACACTGCCTTGAATGACAGGCAAGCTAAAGAGTCCTAATAAATGGCTTTTTAACTATTTGGGGTTTTGATTACTTTCTCTTCTATCACATATGTTGCTGTATCAACTGAACACAAAAAATCAGAATGTATTTTTCATGTTTGTATTTCCAAGCCCAGCAATAGCTCTGCAGTAGGGCTTGTTCGATGTTCGATGTAAATTGTTTCATTAAACTGCAGCTCCTCTGTGGGTTTTATTTGTCACCTACAAAGTAAAAGGAACAAACAAAAGAACCTCCGTATTTATGGTGGAGATCAATTCTTTCATCTGCCCAGAGCCCAGCCCTGCTGGAAACAGCACACCTCTCCTGCCTGGGCTAGGAATTGCCTCTTCTCCACTCTGCATGGAAGTAAAGGGCTGCCCATCACAGTGCCCCATGCCCAGACCACAAGAGCTGACACATGACCCAAGTTGGGCTAATCAGAGTCCTTCCCAGAGTT